GCAGTCAGCAGGGTTTAAGAACATTTGTTGTCCGACCTGTAAGTCAAATGCGTTTTGTTAAAATATACTTTTTCACTTTTTTGGTCTGTTGGAAAATGTTGTTTGTGCTGTATTTAGACCCCTCTAACAAGAAATTTGTTTTTGCATGCACACGTATAAAAATTGCGGTTTTTATCCAACGCAATCATAGGTTTGAACGTTGTTTTCAATTTAGACTTGTTTATATTTTTTCGTTTGGGCTTGTATTATATTTGCCTTCGGGTTTATATGATCCGTTCATCCTAATTTGACTCCTCAAAATTCGAGAGTCTATCCTAAATTGAGGTAAATTACTTGGTCTTCCAAATACTGTTTCGATTCCTAACATCACTGAAGAGACATTAATTGTCGAAATCCGGATATGGTGTACAAAACTCTTTGCACCTTTGTTTGCGGTATACCAACTTTGGCGCAAGTTTATTGTTTTCTGTTTGGTATTAAATTTTTAATTAAGATCCATTTATTACACCTTGTGATCCGTTTATTTGGCAATCGCCAATGGCAGTCAGCAGGGTTTAAGAACATTTGTTGTTCGACCTGTAAGTCAAATGCGTTTTGTTAAAATATACTTTTTCACTTTTTTGGTCTGTTGGAAAATGTTGTTTGTGCTGTATTTAGACCCCTCTAACAAGAAATTTGTTTTTGCATGCACACGTATAAAAATTGCGGTTTTTATCCAACGCAATCATAGGTTTGAACGTTGTTTTCAATTTAGACTTGTTTATATTTTTTCGTTTGGGCTTGTATTATATTTGCCTTCGGGTTTATATGATCAGTTCATCCTAATTTGACTCCTCAAAATTCGAGAGTCTATCCTAAATTGAGGTACATTACTTGGCCTTCCAAATACTGTTTCGATTCCTAACATCACTGAAGAGACATTAATTGTCGAAATCCGGATATGGTGTACAAAACTCTTTGCACCTTTGTTTGCGGTATACCATCTTTGCCGCAAGTTTAATGTTTTCTGTTTGGTATTAAATTTTTAATTAAGATCCATTTATTACACCTTGTGATCCGTTTATTTGGCAATCGCCAATGGCAGTCAGCAGGGTTTAAGAACATTTGTTGTTCGACCTGTAAGTCAAATGCGTTTTGTTAAAATATACTTTTTCACTTTTTTGGTCTGTTGGAAAATGTTGTTTGTGAGGTTTGAACGTTGTTTTCAATTTAGACTTGTTTATATTTTTTCGTTTGGGCTTGTATTATATTTGCCTTCGGGTTTATATGATCCGTTCATCCTAATTTGACTCCTCAAAATTCGAGAGCCTATCCTAAATTGAGGTAAATTACTTGGCCTTCCAAATACTGTTTCGATTCCTAACATCACTGAAGAGACATTAATTGTCGAAATCCGGATATGGTGTACAAAACTCTTTGCACCTTTGTTTGCGGTATACCATCTTTGCCGCAAGTTTATTGTTTTCTGTTTGGTATTAAATTTTTAATTAAGATCCATTTATTACACCTTGTGATCCGTTTATTTGGCAATCGCCAATGGCAGTCAGCAGGGTTTAAGAACATTTGTTGTTCGACCTGTAAGTCAAATGCGTTTTGTAAAAATATACTTTTTCACTTTTTTGGTCTGTTGGAAAATGTTGTTTATGCTGTATTTAGACCCCTCTAACAAGAAATTTGTTTTTGCATGCACACGTATAAAAATTGCGGTTTTTATCCAACGCTATCATAGGTTTGAACGTTGTTTTCAATTTAGACTTATATATATATATATATATATTTATATATACATATATATATAGGGTCTAAATACAGCACAAACAACATTTTCCAAAAGACCAAAAAAGTGAAAAAGTATATTTAAACAAAACGCATTTGACTAACAGGTCGAACAACGGGTGTTCTTTAACCCTGCTGACTGCCATTCCTGTTACAAAAACTAAGGATTTTCTTATCCCAGGAATAGATTACCGAAGCCGTATTTGGCACAACTTTTTCGAATTTTGGGTCATCAATGCTCTTCAACTTTGTACTCGTTTGGCTTTATAACTATTTTGATCTGAGCGTCACTGGTGAGTCTTATGTAGACGAAACACGCGTCTGTAGTATTAAATTATAATCCTGGTACCTTTGATAACTATTAATGCTAAGATTTCATGGTTATCATATACAGCAAATGCGATTTCATGATTATTTACGCCAATCTTGGCATGTTTATATTTGGAAGTGCCACTGGGTAGTAAAATTCCGTTGAGTATCATTATGCCTGTGATATAAAAAAAATCTATTTGGTCCAAAATATATATTTAATTGTAAATAGGTACTTTATAACGTGTGCTGACAAAACGACTCAAAGTTGTTCCGATGACAGAAGAGCGCGGCGTAAGTCATTAAAAGATCGGCATTGTTCTATCTTAGGCTAAAGAGATGAGACTGATCATTGTTAAATGTATGAAGACAGGTCCTGTTTTTTATGGAAAGCCGCAGCGAACCCCACGTTTATTTTTATTTTCCCCATAAGAACTGCATTAAACTAAAATAAATCGAAGGTCTTAAAAATCCCGCCCGAAAATTATTATTACTAGTATTCCCGCCCGCAGATTAGTATTATCCCCGCTTGCAAATCATTATCATTCCTGCCCGCAAATTATTATCATTCCCGCCCGCAGATTATTATTACTCCCGCCCGCAGATTATTATAAATCGATTCGTTTTGTGACGGCCGCAAGAACGAAGATTATTTCTACACAAACCCCGCTTTTCAACACAAGGCCGAAGATTATTTCTAGCCTATCAAAAATCTTATAGCGGCAATCCTCTAAACCAAAAGCTTAAGGCGGGCCGAAAATTTTGAAGATTTTATCAATTCTCCCAACAAAAAATTCTTCGGACGGGAAGCCTCTAAACCGATAGCTTGTGGCGGGAATCCTCTAAACCAAAAACATTAAAAATCTGCGGTGAAGCTGCTTTTGATGCTGAATATTATTTTATGCTCAACTCAAACTTAAAGTGTAGTAGAATTAATTATATATAATATCAAATCATGTTTTCCTTTAAAATTGCTTCATTTACTTAATATGTAAAAATCTATTTGACTATTATCTTATATACTATGAAAGTAGAAAAGAAACTGAATACACCAATAAATTAAAAAACGACTAACAGTACTGCAACTACAATAACACATTTGTTATAGATGTCTCAAAGCTGTACAATATCTACATATTGAAATGGAAATGACTCAACCATTGACTGACACCGTACTTGAGGTATCGCTCTAAAAACAATTATGACCAAATTTATTGTTTTTTACTGATATCTTTTCACCATCATAGATAATAGCTACAACAGATTGACAGCATACACGAGCATCTATACAAGATATAAAAAAATTATGCGATTGAAACTTTCAATTGACAGTTTATTGCCCCTTAAAAGACTTCACATCTGACACTTACAAACACTTTTAAAGCAAATTAGACAGGAATTATCTTTAGGTTGCGCCTTGATACTTGAGTACAATCTATTATCGAACAAGGCGGCCATCACTCAAAATATAAAACTTTGAAACTGCCTCATTACGAGGTTCCTCACAAGAAAAAAACTTGATAACAGATGAGCAACACATAATATCATTAAATACTGTTCATCTATTAAAGTTGTCTAACTATTCTTGATAGAAGTTAGTGTTTTAAAGGTGATTTTAATTATCGAGTCTGCGACTAACAAATTGCATATAAGCAAAACAAAACCATTAGCATTTATACGTCCAGTATGTAGTTGATTAGAAGACTTTGTATGTGAATTGTATTGATCCTGATTTTTACTTGAACATCAATACATGTCAATGTTGCCGGATGAGCAAATAGGCTGGGTCATTGTTTTTTTTTCTTTTGGAAGGAGTGGAGAGGCAGCGTTTTTCTCAAAGACGAAAACACCATGCATGATCGTATTCATATAATATATATATATACTTTTTGTAGTTTTCGTCGGGATATTTTAACTCAATCAAATATGGTCGAATGGAATCTAAGGACAACGTTGTCTTATTTATTTGTCAGTGCTATAATATGAGTTTTAAACTTGAGTTTTCATTTTTTTAACCATTTCTAGATTTTGTACGCATTTCTTGTCTATTTATTTTACATTATCACATTCTGTACTTTTATTATTGGAATCAACATTCGTATGACTATAGTAATGTGCAGTAAACTATCCACATCCTTATACTGAAACAGCCTACAGATCCATTTATCGATTGACCGTGATCTGCCCTTCTGCCTTTGGGGATATTTCAAACATGTACATGATTTCTACCCACGAGTCTCTGTATAGTCAAAAGTCTTTGTCTCCTTGAAATTTAACACTGATGACTTCTGACGTTCCTATCCACAGAATAAACTTGATCTTCATATAATAGGCATTTAGTTCGGCTAAAGAATGAATATACCATTAGTCAATCAATTTTCATTCAAATGTCAGACATCGTAATTGAATAATTGTATCAAAGATTTCACTATTGAAAACAAAACCGACTGGTGTCAGATAGTTTATAAAATATCATGTCTGACCCAAGTCAGAAGCCTCTGGCCGTTGTTAGTCTTGTATGTTTTTTTTTATTAATTTTAGTTCATTTTTATGATAAGGAGTTTAATGTGACGTCCATTTTCACTGAACTTGTACATATTAGTGTTTAGGGGCAAGCTGAATCCCGCCTCCGGGTGGGGAATTTTCTCCCTGTGTTGGAGACCCATTGGTGGTCTTGTGTTGTTTTCTGCTTTTCAGTCGTGTTGTAGTCTCTTTAAAACATTCCCCATTTCCATTCTCAATTTAATTTTTCAATATAAATCGAAAGAATGTAGCAAGTTTAATTGGCTTCGTAGCTATTGCGCTTTTTGTAAGTAGGAATTACAAAAAAATCTACTTTAATCTCACACATTTAATAACTATTGATGAAGGTGTCTCCTAAAATTGCCTTGCCTAGGATATAAATAAAATTCATCTAAATGTTTGATAATTTTATTGCAGATACTAGTCACAGTAACAATGATTCATATCTTTTTAAATAGTTGATCTCTTGTCACAGTGTGCTAGATTCTAAGCTTATCTAATTTTTTCCACAGCAGCAATAGTTTGGACCACATACTGTCACCCCGCAACCTTCAAACAGATAGCGGTATGCTGAAAGGTATTTCGAAGAAGACCTGCCGTAGATGTGAACGGCGTCGAAACAGTGGTATCTAAAAAATAATTAACAATTAACACTTTAGCTATGTCTGCGTTCAAACTGCAATTATATACTTCTGCAATTAAAGTGAGTAAATAGGGGGATTCAGGCTCCAAAATGAAGGGGCTCGCCCTCTACGCACCTTGAATCTGCCAATGTTATATATCAAAACTGTGTTTTTGCACTAATTATGTGATTTTGTTTAGCAATTTCAATTTCTTCTTTGAAATTTTTTTTAAATGCTCGGGATTTTATGATCCATGAGTCTCGGAAAGTCACACGAACGAATGAATTTATAGTCAAGATTGGTAAATAAAACCGAAAAAAATCGAAAAATGTTGTTTATTTATTTCTCGATACCTCGATCAAAGGTTGTGTTTACCATGTTCATCAGTATCTGAAATATAGTGTCCACACAAACGGGATGAATAACATCACCATTTGCCATGGTTGAGCTTTGTGTGTTCTCTTCACCTTTGAGCTTAAAATAAGAAATGAATGATAAACTTTCATACAAGATTAGTTTAAAAGTCCTAGTTAGTATTGTAGAAGGTTTTTTGTTTTGATCGAAAATATAGGTAAAAAAATTCCGGTGTAAAAAAGGGTCTAGGACACAAGAAAGTGAGTCTTTAAAGAAGAGGGGCCTTGGTGGCCGAGTAGTCTTAGGCTAGTGATTACATTAGTAACTACTATAGTAGTTATAGTAGTTACTAATGTAATCACTAGCCAGTCAACACTGAGGTTGTGAGTTCGAACCCCGCGCGTGCGGGTGCACTCGACTCCAATCTTTAGAGAATAGGATTGTCAGTTCTATCGATGGTCAGTGGTTTTCTCCGGGCACTCCGGCTTCCTCCACCAATAAAAACTGGACGCCACGAAATAGCCCAAAAGCGGTGATTAAAATAGTTATCAAAGGTACCAGGCTTATAATTTGATACGCCAGACGCGCGTTTCGTCTACATAAGACTCATAAGTGACGCTCAGATTAAAACAGTTAGAAAGCCAAACAAGTATAAAGTTGAAGAGCATTGAGGACCCAAAATTCCAAAAAGTTGTGCCAAATACGGCTATGGTAAAAGTGGCGTAAAACACTAAAAATCAAAATGAAATCTTTAAAAAAGTGCTTTTAGGAATAACAAATAAGTCTTAATTATGCTTACGATGAACCTATTTTTTTGCAAATATCTTCACACTTTTCTTTATTCCTACAACTTCTTCTGACAGCAAGAACTCTTGCATAAAATAACATGGAGCCATTAGTTTCTGCTGTGCAAATTGCTAGTGCTGTTTGATCGTAGCTGTAGTATAGTGAAACTCCTGAAATAATAATCATAAACAATGCATTTTCCATTTTATTTCCAGTTTTAACCACCGCATTTTAGTGTTTATATAAAAAAAAATATTAGAATCAAACAGTCGGCCACCTAAGCGCATAGAGTATTAATACATTTGTGTTTGTACTTTTGCCTTTACTGTATTGGCTGAAGATGTATTATTCAAAATTAACTGCACATATATAATTTCCTGATATTAAAGATATCGATTTGCATATAAAAATCTAGGAAAAGTTCTTCTTCTTCTTCTTCTTCTTCTTCTTCTTCTTCTTCTTCTTCTTGTTGTTCTTCTTCTTCCAATAATTTGCATACCACCTCTGGTGTATTGTCGCAAATGACTATTTACACATGCCCAAAGGAAACATCTTTCCAACATACTATGTACACAAATCCTGTAAAAAGCCATCGTGGTGTTATATGCAATTAAAACTGAAATATCTAACATGAAGCAGGTGTCTGGAGGCTGTCTTTGAATCCTTCCAAGTGGAAGCTGTGACGACAGCAGATGGTAGTTCATTCCACAGACGAATTGCAGATGGAAAAAATGATTGCTGGTGGTTTTGTATTCTCGAGTAGGGTAGTAGGAATCTGGTGTCATGTTCTCTTTTTGTTAATGCTACACCCCTCGGCATTAAGTATTGCTCTGGTGATATTGCAACAAGATGGTGTATTATGCGGTAGAGCATGATGGTCTTTACTCTCTTTCTACGTTCTTGTAATTCGACCCATTGCAGGGTTTTAATCATCTGGGTTACACTACTGGTGGTTCTGTAGTCACCAGAAGGTATAAGACATGCAGAATCAACCAAATTTTATGAGAACGGGGACTATTTTTGGGACTTACGAGCGGACAAATTAAGGTAACACATAATTCACCTTACGTCGTAACAGGGTATACAAATCTAGCGCAAAGTATACTTATTGTCACGCGTATGGTTGTTAAAAGATTTTCATCCATGAATCTGTTTGAAAATCACAAGGTTGTCTGGATTTGCACATGAATGTACCGTGTCTGTTTGGTTAATTCACATTATTTGTATACGTCAAAATATATAACTCCCTTAAAACGAGGGGGGCGATAATGACCCAAAATCGACCTCATTACAGATACATTTTAATTGTTTATTAAACAACCTTTCCAAATCAGAATGGATCTAGTTTATTAACGAATAAAGATCACTATCCCCTTCAAATAGAAAATAGCAGACAAGGCAATTCAGCAATATCACCACCAAAATTAACGTTCTTCTTAATTCAAAGATAAAGCTCAACGCTATGGTATATCGGTAGAAACTTTATTCGAGTGGTCAGAGGTTGAATAATTCATTCAAAAACTTTGCACTTTTATTCAAATTTGCCGGCGTCAGTGACCTTTGAATTTTTTATGACTAAAATAGCCTTTTAAAAAAAAAAGTGCACATTTTACAAGTTTCACAAATTTCAGTAATAGATCTTGTCATAAATGCCAAACTGTATTTTCATCCTCTCGATGCACCGTAGTGAATCCTTATTTTCCTGTGGGCATAGCAACAAAACCACCTTAGTGGTAAAAGTTATGTGGTGAATTTATTCTTACCATTAAAAGTATATAAGGATCCGTTAAATAGGTTAAACTTCCATTAGACACCCTCACACACATTTACTTGAAAGATGTATTTTGCTTAGACCGTCATTCAGGAAGAAGAATGAAATATGATTGATTGATTGATGGTTGCTTTAAGTCACATCAGCAAAAAAGGATATATCGCGGCGAGAGCTATTTCGAATATTTTAACAAAAGGTAGTTTTTTTTTGTTTTATAAAAAGACCATAAACCCACTTATTCATGGTATGGTATCAATATTTCTGACCTGACACTACGTACTTTTTATTGCTTAATTCTTTAGAATTTAATATGCAATGTTTCGGGTTCTTTCGGGAGTATTCCCAGGTACACCCTCATCAGAGGCCGACCTTTAGCTATTTATTTCGTATCTAGTATCATAGATAGATGTGTGTCTGTTTCATAACAGTTTTTTTTATTTAATTTATTAACTACACGTGCATATAGGTCTACGTTGTAGCTAGTCTTTTTACAGACTAAAGAAACTGACCAAGTAGATCAGCACCTTTGGTTAATTATTCATATATATAATGAAAAGACTTATTGTCTTTATTCTCGTAATCTAGTCTATCATAAATCTACACGAGATCTAATAGTTAGTAGTTATCAGTGCTATACTGTTGAATTCACACTAGACTGCCGTGTATGTTTTAACACCTATTTGATAATATACCAATGTCTCCATGTTTAACAATTGAAGAGGTTTGTGTAGATACCATGTCGGGTCTATGCATGAATATAACAGGAACCATTCTGTTTTCCCTTGTACGTGATCTCTTGAAATAAATCGGCATCACGTCTTTTTACATCTGTTTCACAGTATAATGATTGTATACTAAAGCCTCCCGTGGTGGGGTATTGTGAATCAATGTCTTCGGCTTAATGATTAATTATCATGTTGCCAATATTCTTATTGTTTTTTAAACCAATATCTGGTTTGGAATTAGATAGTTTGTTGTTTTTTTTTTTTAGTTTTTTTTTTTGTTTTTTGTTGTTTTTTTTTGGCAATCGGATCTTTCCGAATTATATACCAAATTTTGTTATTACCGTGTTAAGATATTCAAGATATTTCTGCCACTTGTTTTCTAATATTTGGTTTCTTTCGAAGTTGCTGTCTGCATCTATGCTAACTCAGCCTAAGTGTATTTGTTAGGGAGGAATCCGCAAGACATTTACACTTAAGACCGTATTTATACGTTTATCTTATAAGTACATGTTGCTATTGATTCTAAGAATTCTCGTACCTTCAGAAGGAATGAAAACAATGTACTATTTCAAATAGTTGTTCACTTTGTTCACCTTCTTCATTAAATATATTAAATCCATCAATTCTCATTCTTTAGTGGAATTTAATATTATTTTCGTAGGGTATTTCTCTGTTTTATGTCTATAATTATGGTTAAATATAGCAATATCAGATATTTCCAGGGAGGCAACTCTGCCCATTGAAACGCCAACGATCTGTTGCTAGTATAATAGTATTACTTTCGTTGTTCATTGACAGTCATATGTATTTGTTATTAGTTTCCATGTAACCTTCAACGGCTTGACATAATAATTATTATCGATATTAGTTGCTTAACGTCCTGTTGCCAATATTTCATGTATGTTTAGGACTGTGATATAGTGATGACATAAGGTTGTTTGCTAGTATAATAGTATAACTTCCATAGTTCGTTGACAATCATATTAGTTGTAGTAAGTTTCCATGCTACCTTCTAAGGTTTGGCATGATACAGCGATAAATTAACGATTTATGGTTTTTGGTTGCTTAGCATCCAGTGGCAAATATTTTATGTATGTTAAGGAATATGATATAGTGATGACATAAGGTTGTTTGCTAGTATAATAGTATAACTTCCATAGTTCATTGACAATCATATTAATTTGTAGTTAGTTTCCATGCGACTTGTAAGGTTTGACATGATATAGCGATAAATTAAAGATTTTAAGCTGCTAAGCATCCAGTGGCAAATATTTCATGTATGTTTAGGACTATGATACAGTGATGACATAAGGTTGTTTGCTAGTATAATAGTACAACTTCCATAGTTCATTGACAATCATATTAGTTTGTAGTAAGATTCCATGCTACCTTCTAAGGTTTGGCATGATACAGCGATAGATTAAAGATTGTTGGTTGCTTAGCCTCCAGTGGCAAATATTTCATGTATGTTTAGGACTATGATATAGTGATGACATAAGGTTGTTTGCTAGTATAATAGTATAACTTCCATAGTTCATTGACAATCATATTAGTTTGTATTTAGTTTCCATGCTACCTTCTAAGGTTTGACACGATACAGCGATGAATTATTGATTGTGGTTACTTAAAGTCCAGTGACAAATATTTCATGTATGTTTTAGACGATGATATATATAGTGATAACATAAGGTTGTTTGCTAGTATAATAGTATAACTTCCATAGTTCATTGACAATCATACTAGTTTGTAGTCAGTTTTCATGATACCTTCTAAGGTTTGACATGATACAGCATCCAGTGGCAAATATACTATGTATGTTTAGGACTATGATATAGTGATGACATAAGGTTGCTTGCTAGTATAATAGTATAACTTCCATAGTTCATTGACAATCATATTAGTTTGTAGTTAGTTTCCATGCTATCTTCTAAGGTTTGACATGATATAGCGATAAATTAACGATTGTTGGTTGCTTAGCATCCAGTGGCAAATATTTAATGTATGTTTAGGACTATGATATAGTGATGACATAAGGTTGTTTGCTAGTATAATAGTATAACTTCCATAGATCATTGACAATCATATTAGTTTGTAGTTAGTTTTCATGATACCTTCTAAGGTTTGACATGATACAGCGATAAATTAAAGTTTGTTGGTTGCTTAGCATCCAGTGGCAAATATTTCATGTACGTTTAGAACTATGATACATATAGTGGTGAAACAAGGATGTTTGCTAGTATAATAGTATAACTTCCATAGTTCATTGACAATCATTTTAGTTTGTAGTTAATTTTCATGCTACCTTCTAAGGTTTGACATGAACTAGTGATGAATTGAAGATTTGTTGGTTGCTTAGCATCCAGTGGCAAATATTTCATGTATGTTTAGAAATATGATACATATAGTGGTGGAACAAGGTTGTTTGCTAGTATAATAGTATAACTTCCATAGTTCATTGACAATCATATTATTGTAACTAGTTTCCATGCTACCTTCTTAGGTTTGACATGAAACAGCGATGAACTAAAGATTTGTTGGTTGCTAAGCATCCAGTGGCAAATATTTCATGTATGTTTAGGACTATGATATAGTGATGACATAAGGTTGTTTGCTAGTATAAAAGTATAACTTCCATAGTTCATTGACAATCATATTAGTTTATAGTTAGTTTTCATGCTACCTTCTAAGGTTTGACATGATACAGCGATGAATTGAA